CAGAAACAAATTTCTGGAAAAAGTCGTTTAGACAAAGAAATGAAAAGATAGAAAAAGAGAAAAATCTTTCTGAACAAATTCTGGGGGAAAAGAAAAGGAAAGAACTTATCTGGACGGTATGACTGGTCCCAACGATCATGTCATGCATTCCGAATTAATCGACCCAGTCTATTTGTATCAATCAATCTTCCTGATGGCCTCATTTGCCGGGAATAAACAGACGCCCAACTTTTGCCATATGCGGATTCTTTCCGCCGATCTCATTTTGTCACCTCATAGTGCCCTTCGAGGGGTTTTCACTAATAAGACTTTCTCCTTTCTCTCAGCTCCCGTTGCCTTATGGTGCCTGTGAAGGTTTTCACCATAGGACTCTCTCATTTTGTTTCTCTCAGCTTACGTCGTCTTATGGTGCCTGTGAAGGTTTTCACCGATAAGACTCTCTCATTTTATTTTTTCAGTTGGGGATCGGAGTGTTACCGATAAGATTCTCTCTACTCGGCATTCTTTTGCCTATCAATTTCTTCAGCTTATGACCCTCGTCCGGTCGGGGATTAGTGTATTACCCTTGGCTTTCATTTGCCTGACTTGGCGCCTCTCAGATAACGATCGGGAGGTCTTTTTGGACATAAGATGTGGGTTTTGTGTGGGTAAAGAAAAGAAAAGGTTATCAAGAAATTCAAAATAATTTGATGGGTAAGATATTACAACTCTTGGAATCAAACCTCTTTTTTTTCAAAATTTAAAAAAAACATAACTTCTGCCCCAGTTTTCTTGCTTGGGGGACTTTTGATTTTTCGTGACATTTTGTCACATTGCGACCGAGCCGTGAAGTGCCTACGTATCCTCTTGGAGGAATCAGGTCGAACGTAGTTCACTTGATTCCTTTGTTTTTCTTGTGACTTTTCTCTTGTTTTGTTTTTTTTTTAAATTATTTTCTCCTTCTTTTATTTTTTTCTCTCCTTGTTTCATTTTTTTTTCATTTTCATTAATGATTCCAAAAGAGGGGTATGAAAGAATAAATAAGGCTCAAAGGGGGAAGCAAAGGTTTAAAGTGTTTGGATAGAAGAAAGAATTGCCTTTGTCATTTCATTATTCAATAAGTACCAAGTACAAACAAACGAACAAATAACTATCATAATCAAAGAAATTACACATAATATCTCTTGACTGCATCAGAATTGATAGCCATGTCGATGCATCTTCCTTCGACATCTGTCAGACATAAAGCGCCATTGGATAATACTCTGGTCACAATATAAGGCCCTTTCCAATTTGGGGCGAACTTGCCTTTTGCTTCGACCTGATGTGGGAGGATCTGTTTCAATACTTGGTACCCTACTTCAAATTTTTTGGGGCGCACCTTCTTATTGTATGCTCTTGCCATTCTCTTCTGATACAACTGGCCATGACATACTGCTGCCAATCTCTTTTCATCTATTAAGTTCAACTGCTCCAGTCAAGCTTTGACCCATTCATCATCATCAATCCCGGCTTCAGCGACAATCCGGAGGGATGGAATTTCGACCTCTGCTGGTATCACTGCTTTAGTTCTGTATACCAACAAATAAGGAGTTGCACCTACTGAAGTACGAACTGTAGTGCAATAACCCAACAATGCAAATAGTAATTTCTCATGCCATTGTCTAGACCCTTCTACCATCTTCCTCAGTATCTTCTTGATGTTCTTGTTAGCTGCTTCAACTGCTCCATTCGCCTTGGGACGATATGAGGTGGAATTGCGGTGGGAAATCTTAAACTGTTGACATACCTCTCTCATCAAATTTCTGTTAAGATTAGCTCCATTATCCGTGATGATCACTTTTGGGACCCCAAATCTACAGATGATATGGGAGTGAACAAAATCCACCACTGCCTTCTTGGTTACCGACTTGAAAGTTTTAGCTTCAACCCACTTAGTGAANGAATGCCAAAGTACGTCTCGCCTCCCACTTGTTCCTATTCCCAGCATGAGTTAGTCCGAGGTTCAGCTCTTCAAAACCCTTAGGAGCACCATACCGTTGATATAAGAATTGGAGAGCGCAGCATCCTCTTGACAAATCATTATTTTGCACCTTCCGACTAATGTTTAGCAAATCCAAAAACCCGTGCGGAGATACCGGTCTTGGTGAAAGCAAATATTGTCCCCTTAATTTTCCATTCAACCCCACATATCCTGCGATTTCCTCTAGTGTAGGTGAAAGTTCAAAGTCAACAAAACGAAATACATTGCGGGTTGGGTCCCAGAACGGTATTAGAGCCTCGATGATATCTGTCCTCGGCTTGATATTCAACAGATTGACAAAACCTCCCAAAACTATTCCCACTATCTCTTTACTATCGTCTTTCAGATCATTCCACCACATGTGGAGTTGTAGAGGGACCTCGCTAAAGACTGAGAACGGTTCATTTTGATTTGTGCTCATCCTGCACATTTATTAAGGTGATTAAAGAAATAAAAACTTTTATTCGACTCAAAATAAAACTATCTATATTCCATTTTTCAATTTTGAAGATGAAGGACTCGGTTTTCAAATACGGCCTTTCAACACTTCGGGGACGAAGATTATAAGGCTGTGTAGGTCTACCGGTCAAAAAATCACAAAAATGGCCGTTTGTGCAAATTCATCCTTCCGGCGTCCCTTTCGGGAACATTCGGCTATTTATGGCAAAATAGCCTTACTCGACTTATTTTTCTTGCCCTTTTCAGCATAAAAAATACAGTATTGCAAACACGGCCTTTCAACGCCTCTAGGACGAAAACTTAAGGCTGTGAGGGTCGAAACTCGAAATGAGACCAAAGGTGGCTATTTACGCAAGGTCAGCCTTCCGGCGTCCTGTTCGGGGACATTCGGCTATCTTTGCACAAACGGCATCACCAGACTTAATTATGATAAAAAATTTAAAATTTTGCAATTTTTGGCTATTTTTCAAAAGGGGAAGTTGGACCCGATTAGGGCTGCCTACGTATCTCACATCCGGTGAGAATCAAACCAGCGTAGTTCGGCAAATTAAACAAACGATTTTAAAACATGACTCTTTTTTTTATTTAATTTTATCATTTCAAGCAAAATAAATGAATAAAAAAAACTACTTTTAAAAACAACATATTTTCACTTCCGTTGGCAAATAAACTATTTTGAAACAAAAATCAAGACTCTTTTTCTTTTCCCATAACAGAACAAACTATTTTTTTCATTTTCCATTTTTGCAGACCAGACAAACTAAAAATGATAGACTTTTTTTTTTGAATAAAACCACTATTTTAAAAATAAAATATTTTTCTCAAAATTTCGGCAGAGTTTCGACAGTATTTGGGTATTTGTTTTTTCCAAAACAATCAATTAACTCTTCAACTGCTATTTTTATCTTTTTCTCTTTTTCTCTTTTTTTTTTGTTTAAATTTCTAACATTCCTGAGATTCAGAAGTCGGTCAACATGCAAGCCCGAGCAAATAAATGCACAGAAAACAAATAGGATGCATCAGGATGGTCTTTTCATTTCAGGTTACTAGCCCTAGACGGACCCAACCCCTGTGTTGAGTCCCCTAAGTCAACATGCACATGATGCAGATATGCGTTCCTACTAGGGATCCGGCATGAAGTTGAGTTATTCTAGGTTCAAAACCTGGGTGTTTGTTACTCGAGCGGACAGCTCGAGCCGAGGGGGAGGCAGCAATCCGGGAATACAGAAGCTTCACCGGCTTTGCAACTTATCCAAACCTCGTTCTAAATTGGGATTTGACACTATACAGAAAAGAACTCGTACGAAGTACACCCTTCTTCATGATTTAGAAGACTTAGAGAGGAGATGGGTTTCGGCACAGTTTATATACAGTTCACATAATATCAAAGCGGTAAAAGGCAATCAATTAGCACATTAGGCACATATCATGTAACAAAATCAAACAAAGCCAAATACAACAATTATTCCAAGCTCGAATTCTGAACCCTGAACAAAACGTTCTGGATTCCACAGTTCCCCAGCAGAGTCGTCAGAGCTGTCACACCTCCTTTTTACCGCCCCGCGAGGGGCGTAAGGGAGTTTTTCCAATTAAAGGACAATCGAAATGGGATTTATTATTAAGATTCAGAGTCGCCACTTGGGAGGTTTGTGGTGTCCCAAGTCACCGATTGAATCCCGAATCGAGGAAGATAATGGCTCTGTTTAATAGTCCGCGAACCAGAAATCCGGATAAGGAATTCTGTTAACTCGGAAGAAGGTGTTAGGCATTCTCGAGTTCCGCGGTTCTAGCACGGTTGCTCAACTGTCATGTTTAGCTTATTTATCTGATTTTTTACATGTTGTAACTTATGTACCGATTTTAACTTTTAACCGCTTTTATTCGATTTATTAAAGAAAATTGAACGTTGTCTGAGACATGTCTTTGGATTGCGCCGCATGAAATGAACCCGCAATCCTGAACACATCCGATTCGACGTTTTGGGATTTGGATTTGGGTCGCACGAAATGCACACCCGAGTTTAGGGACGATAACATTATTAGATACGCACCTAAAGATGCTAACGCATTATTATTTTTGTGAAGGCCATGAAATTCGCTAAACGACCCTTCCCAAAATCTAAAGAGTCAATATCTACATTTATGAGGGCCCCACAGTTTGTGATTTATTTCGGCGAGGCACAACTCATTTATTTTAAGGATATCCTAAAGCGACTACGTTTTCTATTTCGTTTGTCTCTAGAATAAAAGAAGAAAAATACCTAATTTATTTACATGCTTGAGAGTTATTATTGAAAAATTTCGAACCTAAATAGTTAACATCGAAAATAGACGGGAACATGGGGGCAGAACAGTTTTGGGCCCAGGCCCAGCATACCGGGCGCAGAACTGGACCTAGGCCATTTCTATTTTAGCGTCTGGCCTGCTACTTACTTTTACACTTTTTGGTATTCACAATAAGGCAGAAATGGAATCAAGAACTACAAAAACCCCTTTTATGACTCTAAATAAACAAGTCTGCTAACTAAAACAGTTTAAACTACTGATTAATTAACCTAAAGTCTTTATACGTATTTGAAACATGCTTTGTAAAGAAATAAACTGAAATATCAGAATGCTACCACTACATTATTGGTTCTTTAAACTAACATGCAGGGCAGTCTATCCAATACTACTGCTCGATACTCAGTTGTACATAGCAAAGCTACTACATGCTTTTAACAGATGAAACTAACTACTATATTACACAACTTAAAATTTCAGAATATACAAAGCTAAATGTTAAAACTTCAGTTCTTCATTTCATATTCATGCTTCAAATTTCAGACTTACAAGGTTCAACAAATCAATTGTGTACCTGATATTTGGAAAAAGCAAAGAAGGAGAGGAAGATCAGTAGTGCAGCAGTAAACACACAGCAACAGTAACAGTAGGTTCAGCAACAACCAGCAATACAACCAGTAAAACCAATAACAGGTAACCCAGTAGCAGATTGAAAACCAGCAGCAAACTTAAGAATACCCGATAGTAACCACAAGAAACCAAATAGCAATGCCCAAATGAATCCCAATGATCTAAGAAAACAAACACAAGGTGAAGCGGGAATGGACAGTAATTCTCAGATTTTGAGTATGCAAGAGGAGAACAACTGCAAATCTTTTTTTCTGGGGTGTAAGCTTTAGCTTTTATCACTTCAACTAACTGAAATTCTAAGGGTAAGAATTCCAGCCTATATGCACTCAATATACGACTCTTAAAATTCCCTATATCTCACTTTTAGGTTTTGTTTTTTTTCTTTACTCTCCAAATCTGTTTTTCTAATACTGAACTGCTAATCTTCAAAAAAAAATTTAAATCTGTCCTCAGTGTCCCCTATTTATAACAAAGAAGTGTCTGTTTAAAAGACCAGTCAACCCCCTTTTTTATTCAAACTTTAGCTTTTTCAGCCTGTATATTCTTTCACATGTGCACTCCTTAACCCTTTTTATCATTCAGCCCATGATATTCTGATTTCCACCTCAAAAGGTTTTTTTAAAATGGTGTCAGCTCTTCAATTCTATATTAAAAGCCCATGTTATTTCTGATTTCCAGCCAATAAAGGCACTTAACACATTATCACTCCCACCATTGATCCCTATTTTATTCATTAGTTTAGTGGTATATTAGTATTAAACTGGCATACCATTAAAACTGAACAATTTTCATATTTCTAACATCCCAAAATACCCCTCTGGGAATCTGAACTACTGCCCTAACAGCTGATTTCTAACTGATCTCTAATGTACTATAGCTATAACCAATTCACAACTAAATTCAAACAATGATTCGATCAAAATGTGAAGCAGTATGAATCAGATTATTCTAACATTCAAACCTGTAAAACTAATCGACGACATTTATCCAATCGACTATACGAATTACATATATGTAACAACTAATCGACAAACAACATATACCAAACAGGTCACGAAATGACTTCAACGTTTTTGAACCCTTAGCAGAGAACCTATCTAAAATATTTGACGAGTTTTAATCCAGTTCGCACATAGTTCATCATAAAGATGTATTTAACAGTCAAACCGAAAAAATCGACCAAATAAAAGGTCTGTGGGAGATAAACAGAACTGAGAGAAAGAAAAAAAAATATAAAATCAATTAAACTAAAATACAAACAAATACCAAATAATACACAAAATATGAATAGAAGGAGAAGAAAGACTTAACTTTGAAAGCTCATGAATAAAAACGACCCAGTCTCGAACCGACCTTGACCATTTGAGGTCGAACGAACTTTAATCGAAGTGTTCTCAACTGAGAACACCTTGATTAGAGTCTATTGGACCCCAACTCCTCCTTTAATTGGACAGACCCCCATGATTTTGAGCTCTAGGGTTCATGCAAGCCGATTTGGGGCTCGAAGAGTTCTACCTAGATTCGAACGGAACCACCGTTGATTAGGGTATGAGGGATGTCAAAGGAGTGACTGGTGTGAATTTGGGGTGGATTGGGATTGATTAGGGTTTTGCTCGAATCTTCAAACGAAGATTCGAGACGATGGGGAATGATTCGAGGCAAGATGTTAACGGATTCTTGTTCAGGGTGGTTGGGTGTATCAGGGGTGTTATTTTGGTGGTCATCGGCGTCATGGTTGCTAGGTTTACGACGAGAGTGAGGGGTGGCGTCTAGGGTTTGAAATGGGGATGTTTGGTTTGTCTCTGAGAAAGACGACGGAAAGGGGGGTGCTCGGATAGGGGGGCGGGGTAAGGGGGTTAGGCTTATATACGGCTTAGAAGAATTAATCCTGGCCGTTGGATAGAGAGTGTTCAATGGCCAGGATCCCTTGGCTAGTGTAAAACGGTGTCGTTCCACTTAAAAGGAGATCGGGTTGGTCCGGGGTTAAATGGGTCGGGCATCTGGGGATGGCTTGAGGTCGTTGGATGGGATTGGGTTAACGGTTGAGATCAGATGGACCTATACGGCGTCGTTTGGGTAAGTGAATGGCCTGATCTGGGCCGTTCATTTTAATCAATCAATGGCTTAGAATGGGGATACCAATATGGCGTCGTTTCACCGCCTGTGAGACCAGGTCGATGTGGACTGGGTCAGCCATAGATTGGGCCGTTCATTTTTTTTTGTTTTATAATTAAACAATTAAACAAAAATTCCTAAAAAATGTCAAACCAAATTTAAATTAAACAAATATTTGACTAACACTTAACAACAATTAACACACAAAAATAAAATAATTAATTAAAGAAATAAAATCATACCATGATAACAAAAAATAGAATAAAAATGCATATTTTGTGATTTTCCTTTTTTAACCAAATTACGGTTAATTAACTCCTAAAAATGCACAATTAATTCTTAATGCATGCAACGATATTTTTTTGTATTTTTAATTGTCTACAACAAAGTGAGTATTTACGGACAAAACAATTACCAAAATTGTCATGCAAATTCTCAAAACTGTACCCGAAGGCAACTTGCTTTATTTTCGATTTCTTTTTGGAGTGATTTTCCGTGAAGCAAAAATCACGTGCTCACAAGGTGTGTTCGTGTTCCACTTGATTTCCACATCCAGTTTATTTTTTATTTTTTATTTCTTTCAACAAAAGAGTTCAAAGAACTCTGCCACACATGCCTAAGATAAATACATTTCATTAACAATGCTACAAAATATATATTATAATATGAAGCAACAGTTAAAATAGTAATCACCAAATATGCAAGTATTTAGACGTCTCTGTCAGTGAAGAAAGCACATGTTCCTTTTCATTCAGACGCCAAGAAAAAAAACGAACATCTCCAGGTATCCCGAGAATAGAAATTGGAATAACTGACATGAACAGATCTTTTCAACAAATATACTGGGACAGCCTCAAACAACAAAGTTAAAATCAAGTAGGCTCCTTATTCATATGTAAACTCAAAGCAATTAAATACTAATATTCTCACCAATCAAATATCAAATCAGTGATCATAGAGTCATATCGAACTATAATCCAACATGTCTAAACCAAGTAGATTCATAAATTTATATGCTTGTTCAAAGTGAAGCAACAGATTTAACAAAATGACATAAAAAACTGGAGCCAAATCAAATCAGTATTTTATTCATTCAAAACTAGAAACAATCAGAAAATTAGAAGTGTACCTACCTTGTATTTTAAAAGAAACGAAGGAAAAGCGAAACGAAGCTCAGCAGCAATTTCCCATCCACAACAAACAACAATCGCAGCAAGACAGCTCCAATTAGAGCTTCGACAACTTGGATCCTAAATAGGAATAAACGGCTTTACGAGCATCGGGAGAAGAGTTCCAATCAAGGGCAGCCACAATAGGTCGAGCTACATCGCTTGCTATACCATTTTCCTCCATCTTTTTTAGTTGTTAATTAATGCTTCAATAGATTCTTGAAGTTGTACAGTATTCACCTTTGAAAAGTGTTTTAAAAGGAAGAAAGAAAAAATTGGAAAGAGGGTTTTAAGCAAATATGTCAGTTATTTGCACTCTACGATAGTGGACAGAGTGGGGATAGAGGAAAGGTGCTTCATCTTTTTGGGTCTCTGATCTGTGTGTCGTGTGGAGAAAATAAAGAAGAAGAAAGAGGGGTTTGGTCTTTTTTGTGGAAACGGCGCTGAGGGGGTGGATCCGATTTATTAGGTCTAGCCTAGGTTTTAATTAAAAGGGGGAGGAGTTGGGTCAGGCGGTTCGGGTAGGGAGATTGGGCTGGTGGAATTTGGGTATTGTATTTGGGCTAGTTAGATTTTGGCCCAATATTCCAAGACTAAATCAAATTCTTTGCCTATTTTCCTTTCCCTTTGTTTTTCTTTTTTTTTCTTTTCTTTAATTTAAAATCATAATTAAATTAATTAAAATCCTAAATCAATCTATTTTTGTAGAAATTAAAATTCTTTATTTATTTTTAACATTAAAACGACTGATTAACTTAAAACTAAAGAAAAATGCTAATTTTAAAGGCAAAAATCTAAATATGTAAAAAATGACCATTTTTGTGATTTTTTGCTTAATAAAATTAATTCCTACATGCAATTTGAAGCTAAGATGACATGAAATTAAAACGTGACAATTTGTATTATTTTTCTATGATTTTAAAATATTAAAAAAATGCATGAAATGCAACTAAATAAAGAAAAACTCCTAAAAATCAATTAAAATTATTTTTTGTATATTTTAGGAGTTATTTTAATGTAGGGAAAAAATTAGGTGCTCACAATCCCGTGTAGCCTCTCGAAGATAAGTATATATGTCTCCATATCGATCTGCAAGACTCTACTAGACATGCTCATGACTGTTAAAACGTATGAACCAAGGGCTCTAGTACCAACGTTTCATGATCCAAAATCTCACCAAGGTCCTAATGGTACCTAACCTAACCCGTTAGGTAAGCCAACATTAATAATCCACCAAAGGAGGACAAAACAAAGGATAATTAGTTGTCCTAATATAAATAAGTATAAATACGTCAGAATTTGACATAATAATACAACACTACTACATCAATCCCAAAACCCAATAGTAAAGAGTCATGAGATACTAAAATAGAGTACATCCGATTCTTAAATATAACAGTATAGTCTAAAATAAAATAAACAGTAGGTTAGATAAGAAGGGTACACCATACGGTTCAAATCTAACGTAGAAGCACACCACGATGTTCCAAAGACAAGCTACTAAGAACCCTCCTAGAAATTGCAAGGACCAACACCAAGATCTGTATAAAATGTGCAAAAGTATAGTATGAGTATAAATTAAAATATACTTAATAAGTATCAAGTATAACCCCGATGAATTATAGGTGAGGTTGAGATGGGAAAAAAAGACACTCACCCTCGTAACCTATTCAATCATAACATGTACAAGAATAGAGAAATAACCAAACATTACGGATATACATAGTGTGACGCACAGTCAAGGAAGAAGGTAATAAGCATGTTTTCAGAGACAGCAATTAAAGCATGACTTAAGGCACCAAAGACACATATAAAGATGATATGCAACAGCCAACATTAAGATAAATGCTTCTACATAAGTTTAGAATGTCTATGCAGGATATAGACTAAAAAGTTACCTTAACGGACACCTCCTCGGTACCCAATATTACTGCACACACAGCAATCAAAGTATAATTAGTAATCACATTATTCTCAAGGGATAGATCCAATTTTATGCACCACACGGACAACTCAATAAGCATAATATAATCTGCATGGATAGCTCACATGCCAAGTCATCAATCTAGAACAAAAACCGTAAACAGGGATGTATACATGTGAACAAGAAATAAGTATATTTGATGCACATGGATAGAGAAATAGACATGTAGAGAAGTATTGATGTGTAGAAGTATGACTACGACTACAATATGCATCCAACGTACAAAGTAGTCATCATGTCAAAATAAGGCATCAAAAGTCTAGACATGATCTCTATCATGGATATAGTTTTCTCAAGTAGTCATACAACAAATAAGGCATAAAATAAGAAGAAACATATCTCATACAAGGAGAAAAAAAAATCCTAAAATCTACCCCCCC